CTCAACTGCTCCCGGCCCGGCGAGCTGCCCTTCACCTACAACGAGCTGCAGAGCACCTTCCTGCTGCCCGAGCTGCACCTCCTCTACGGCGTCTTCACCACCAACGTGTGCGTGCCCGCCCTCCCCGGGACCCTGGCGCGTACCCCAGCCCACCCCTGAATGCCCCCCACAGGTGCCTGTCCCCTGTGCCCACCAGTGTGTGCGCCCCCAAAGTGGCCACCCACTCCCTGTGGCTTTACACATCTCAGTGTGGTGGCCCCTCGCCCAACCCCCATGGGCTTCCCCGTTCAGCTGTTCTGACGCCCTGCACCCCAGTGTGCACAGAGCCCCCTCTCCCCACCTGGGCCCTGGCCTGTTGGTCTCATAGCTTCTGGAAGCAGGGGGGCAGCAGTCCAAAGGGTGACTCTCCAACCCCTTCCAATGTTGCCTGCCCTGGTACTGGGGCGGCCACAGTGGGCTCAGGCACAGGCCCGGGCAGTGTTTCCTTCTGCCCTGCCTGGGGTCGGAGACTGTGCACCTGGCCACAACAGCAACAAGCTCGATTAGGGAAGAGCTCAGCTCTGCAGATGTGATCCCCATGTCACCAAACCCCCCCATGTGGATCCCAGCCCCACAGAGGATGCCCGCGTGGCTGTCTGCAGGTCTCTGCCGGAGCAGGCAGCCTCCTCCTCCCACGCCCCCCACCCCACCCCACCCCCAGTGGCCCAGGGCTTCTGCTGGACGGCCCCGTTGGGAATAGCCGGTCATCCATATGCCAGCCATCCACTGTCCCTCAGCTGCTGCAGTGGACACTCGGGCCGTGGTCCTCAGTCTGACCTGGGCTCCGGCCCCTCAGAATGGCTTCTGCCTGTGTAGCTGAGTGGGGGTGCTGAGTAAAGTGGGGCTGGCTGCCAGGCCTCCCAACCCCCTGCCTCACCCCCTCTAAACCACGGACCTTACATGCCTGCTGGCTTCACTGGAGCTGTGGCCTAAACCTGCCTCTAGACCCCAGCCAGCTGAGGCACCGAGTTAAGAGGACAACCCCAGA